CACAACACCTGAACACACAAAACAAAGCAAACGAACAGAGAAAAAAACGGGAAAAAAGTACTGAAGGCGGTTAACAAACTGAAAGTGGTAGTGTTAAACAACCAGTACTTCCTAAAGTCGTGCCCGCAAACAAGCCACGGTTGTAGGAAACGTACGGACCACTACAGGAGCGCCCAAATTCATCCGACTAGATATGTTTCTACTCTATTTTTTTTTCTGCGGCCGATAGCTTGAAAGCCAAGTACTGGTGGTTTAAGGTCTGTGAATGTGTACGGCAGGGAACTATGAATGGTAGCTGAGTTAACCTGGGGCCACCCGTCTTCCCCCGAACATAATGCATATGCTCTGTATTCGAGTTCGGGGAAAAAATAAAAATTTGAATCGGACGCATGTGCGTTGTGTTCGAAAGTAAGGGTCATTCGAATAGAGAGCATGTGGGTTGTATTGGAATAAAAAGCAACCTATGCATTGTATCCGTTTACAATGCATATGCTTTTTATGTTCGGAGGAAGACGCGTAGCCCCAGGTTAACTCAGAAACTGGTAACCCAATTGGAGGACACAGAGGAAAATCGGGTCTGCACAATGTCGGAGTCACTCTGATAGGTTACAGAAGAAGGAATCTGGACCGGTTCTCGATTTGCATGCAATCCTTATGCAGGAGGGGTGATGCTTTCTGTGAGGAGTCTGAGGACCCATTGTCGCTGATGATGGAAATGAAGAGAAGTAGTTAAAGTTTAAACAGTTCGAACTTCAATTGAACCCTTGATTTTGTGGTTTATTTGATTTGCCGGTTTCGCTGGACTCTAGACTCCAGACTTTTCTCCTGTGGAGTACACACCCCACCAGACTGTCCGACGGGCCCAGTTGTTATCGCTGTGTTTAGAAAGAAACTTGTCCCAAATACAGGGAAATAGAGGATGAGAATGCGCGACCTGGTCCTTCGGTACATCCGTTAAAATTGGAACGATACAGAGAAGGAAGATTGGCATGGCCCCTGCGCAAGGATGACACGCATAAATCGAGAAATTGTCCAAATTATTTAAAAAAAAAAGAAAAAGAATGCGCGATCTGAACACCCGAAATAAATTCGAAAGAATTCCACTTTAACAGTTTAACTTTTTTTTTTTTTTTTGGGGGGGGGGGTTGGGGAGGAACCATTTCTCGATTTATGCGTGTCATCCTTGCGCAGGGGCCTTGCTAATCTTCCTTCTCTGTATTTGTTCCAATTTTAGCGGATGTCTCGTGGTCCATTGCATATCGAGTATTATCCACCTTCTCCCTGAACCTGGTCTTTGTTATGTTTGTTCCCCTGAACCTGGTCTTTGTTATGTTTGTTCCCCTGAACCTGGTCCTTTTTATGGTTGTCCTTGTCAAGCTTAGTTGGAAGTTAGACCTTTTGATGTTTGTCCCTGAACCATGGCCCTTTTCAAGCTTAGTTGAAGTCGGTCCTTTTTAACGATTGTCCCTGAACCTGGTCCTTTTTATGCTTTTGTCCCTGGACCTGATACCCTCAGAGTGAAATGTGATAGTGCTACCGTCTTCACCGGGCGTCCCGATTGTCCGTGAACCTGGTCATTTTCATGATTGTCCCTGAACCTGATACCCTCCGAGTGACAATCCGATAGTGTTACCGTCTTCACCAGAATAGGACGCCCGTTCGTTATCGCTATATATTTACGTGAGAGGCACGGTCAAGGGAGAGTTTAAAGAAGAACGAGACAACTGAATGGTTTCAGTGTGCCCCTCATCTTTGTCTTGTTTTCTAATCTTTTTACCGTTTGTTTCACAAAGTGCGCTCTTTTTAGTTCATAGTACTTCATACTACATAGTTATGTGACAATGTATTTAGACTGAAAGTTGCCCCAAATATTGCTACAATGACCTGGCATTCTTTTCTTTTCTTTTCTTTTCGTTCCTTTCTTTTTCATTCTATTCGGGTGGAGAAGGTAGTGTAATGAGTCTCCTGCACCTTATTAGGCAAGAAGACAGCTGTTGTCGTCCCCCGAACACAACGTGCACGTCCTCATTGCACATGTTTATTTAATATTTTCTTTCTAGAGCTGCTTGGCATCACCATCTGGTCTCCATCCTAGATTTCAGGTTTCCGGAGTCTGCTTGTTATTCCTCATTTTTTTGGTGCCATGTCTCAGGGCATGCATACTCGCACCAGGACTTTTTCTACTGAGCTCTCGCCGTAATTGCAGTCAGATTCATCCAGGGCTGGCCGTAATTGCAGTCAGATTCATCCAGGTCCGGCTGTAATTGCAGTCAGATTCATCCAGGTCTGGCCGTAATTGCAGTCAGATGAGGAAGTGCTGGTGTGAGCATATGCTCTCACTCTCCTATCCGTCTTGTCTGTCATGATCTAACTGACGCTCAGTTCTTTTCTGTTTTTTGGGTGGCAATCTAAACCCGTAGAAAAAGAAGAACACTGAGCATCACCTCGTAGCACGGTCAGCAGGTATTCAAGTGTGAGGGCATACTCACACCAGCAATTTCCTGAATGCATCTGACTTCAATGACTCCCAGATCTGGATGAATCTGACTGGAATTATGTCCAGAGGTCAGTAGAGAAAGTCCTGGAGTGAGTATTCCCTGACCTGAGACATGGCACAGACTTAGAGGTTGGAACAGATTCGGTACTCCTGTGCCGAGGATAAGTGAGAAACGCTTCCTCGTTGGTGTAGACCCATACTGCAACCCCTCAAGTATTGTTAGATAAGCTTGTATACCTCCTAAACCTTGCGACTGATTGCGACTGATCAGCACGATGAGTCGATGACTGATCGATGCAGACTTTTTTTTTCTTTTTTTTTCTTTTCTTTTCAATGCTCTCTTTCGCTATGCGCAATGATTTCCGAGATCTTTTGCTTGTCTGTTGCGTTCTGTAAGCTGCCACGACCTGTGACCTGACCTGCTGAGCTATATCAGGCCGTCTGTTGTCTCAGTGTTTGGCAGTCAGTCGAGATGGGGACACAGAAGCCTATTATGGTCACCACATTGGCGGGGAGCCATTGAACACGGGGGAAGGGGAGTGTGGTGGTATGTCGTTCTTTTAAAGGGCAGCTGCCTAGAGATATCATCATTGAACTGACCGGCCCTAGGTAATTCAGAGTTGGAGTATTTCACTCATCTGCTTCCAGTGGAGTTCGAACTCAGCACCTGGTCTGTATTTCAACATTTCAGTTCAGGCAGGGGTGTACCAAGTACTGAGCTAGCCCAGTTGGTTGTGGTGGTCTGTCTTGTTTCTATAGTAGTGGGCAATTTTTTTTGTGTGATAGCCTCTCCCGAGTGTCGCTTTCTGTCATGGCAGTCGCCGCTTTCTGCATCTCTCGTCAATCGTTCGCTCGAGCACTGCAGACATCAATTCAGGTGCTTGTCTGGACAACGCTTTTAGCAATCGGAATCTCTGCTGACGGCATGCTTTCAGACCTTTTCGGTTTCGTAAATGATAGGAGTAGGAGAAGGTACTGGGCAGTGTTCTTGCATATGGTGGTTTCTACAATTTCTGCCACCGCTCTCGTCCGGAACGCCACTGATGCTCTCTGCTTCTATACTACCTATAGTCCATAATGCGTAACTTCTGGTACCCCTCTACACTTTCTCATTTTGCCCCTGCATCATTTGCAACTTGTTGGCTTTATGGTTTTTCGCATGCTACTCTTTCTGCTTGTGTTTTTGTCCCTCTTAAACCACTACTACCTTTGCCGCTTCAGAAGTGAGGGAAAATGCCAGCTCCCGAAGAATTCGGAGGCCGGGCCCGACGACGGCTGCCATTGATAAATCTAATCGGCGGCCGTCGTTTCGTTTCGGCCTCCTGAAAGGTCGGAGGCCCGCTATTTTTTTCGGAACGACAAAGGTACTACCGTCTTCACCCGACTATGGTCTTCACCCGAATAGAACGGCCGGTCATTATCGCTGCATCTGGACTGAAAGTTGGGCCAGATGCAGCTATAATGACCAGGCGTTCTATTCCGGTGAAGACGGTAGTGGTCTAACCCCTCAATACCTTTCCTCTTGGTCGCTGTGAGCATGCTCTCAGTTCTTCGTCATTGGTACATCCTGTGGCAATGTGTGCGGGGGCCGGGGGGGG